TATTAATATTATGAGGATTATTTTCTATTGCTAGGTTAGTACAGTGAAACCCCGATGTTACGCGAATTCGGATATAACCCAATGGGTCATTAAAAGTTTCGACACGGGCTCGGTCCTTGGGACCGACCTCGTAACCATAACCTCGTTATAGTTTACATACTAATAACTTTTAATATTTTAAGTGTACCTTTACAAACTTCTGTAGACTTATAGTAAATATTAGAAGCCTTTTGCACACAAAAAATCAGATTTTTTAATGAAGTATTTTTAATTAAATTTGTCCGTGAAACATCAATTTTTAACTAGTCTGAGTGCAAAGTGATTTTCATGTCAAAATTAAAAATACTTTTCGTCATCTAAAAAATCTCAAATTTCCTTTGTGTAATCTCTAAAACCTCCTAAATGCATTTCAAACGTTTTTTTCTTCTCACTAATTCCTTCAACAACGCTTGAAGCCTATCTGAAAAGCCTGAACATGAAATATGTTTGCCACTTAGGTCCCCAGGCCTGGGCAGTAGTTAGCTTGTCGTGTGTAGAGAAATGCTGGAAGAAGGGTCTGGGCTAGCCTTTTCATCACGGCAATCCACCACGGAAGATGATAATGACGAGATAGATTTGTACGGCTTCACAGAGGAAGATGTGCATGAGACAAAGAAGCTGTCTGAATGGAGCAAAGAAGAGCTACACCAGTGGCACTCTGTTGACGACGAATGCCCAACATATGAGCACTTGACGGACGCCGAGATCGTCCGTAACAGAACTATAGCACCGACGGGGGCAAGTGTACCAGTTCTCGAGCCATAAGAAGAGGATAATGAAGAGCCTCCATCACCACCACCAAAAGTGTCTGAAGCCATTGAACACCTAGAGGCTAGCTTCCATTGGCTGGAGACTCAGGAGGTGGACCACATAAAAATCATCCAACTCAGAAGTATTCTAGATTTCGCTCGTAGCCAGAGACATGCTACGTTCAAGCAAGGAACAGTCGATCAGTTTTTTCAGAAATAAACTGCAAATGATGGTTGCTAATATTCTTGAATGTTTTTATTTGTTGTTTTGTTTATTAAAAAGCCTACTAAAAATAATTTGTGCTTTAATATCTACTGTAACAACGACGATTCATTCGCAAAGTTCTTTAATTCAGAGGTAATTTACTTGCCAGAAAGGGAACGTGTAAAAAACTGGTCAAAGAGGGCGAAAATAGAGGTGTTTTAGGATGTTAGGTCAACATTGGGTCAGTTTAAACAGTGATTTTCTTGAACCCCGATTTAGCGCGATCCCGCTTGTTTCGCGATGACATTTTATGGACCTCAACGATCGCATTATAACGGGGCTACGCTGTATTACACTACCTATTAAACGCCAAACAATGTCAATAGGTAGTTCTGATACATTCCGTTCTACCGTGATTTTATATCGGCTACAGCTGTCACGTGACGCGCTGACTTGCGTAATACAAATTCGTTTTAATATAGCGTATTCAACCCTCTGTGTAGTGGTTGAACTAATTTTCATGTTTACAGACTAGATCCAACAACTAGGAACACGTAGATACTTTCAGTGTCTTACAATCAGATATCTAACTTCATTTGGAAATGTTATCTCACGTCACTTCATTAACCATCTGAAACTGTGACGTACTTTCATTTCATATGATCGCCAACGTCAATGAGGAACTCACAGAGCAACACGAGTGACTCGCTGTACTTTGTTACCTTACTACGTCAGTACGTACACGTAAAACTGTTTGAAAACTGCTCGAACACGATTCGTCGCTTACAAACAATTTACAGACGAAACCAAAACAAACTTTCTTCAACAATTAAACACGTGTTACTTAATTCCTCCAAAGTGCTGTTGTTTAATCAGATTTTATGCTCATAAACAAAAATCATATTTTTATACTTTCCAAAGAGAGTACGTAGATGACTCCTGAGCTTTACGCTTTTTGACATGGCGTAATTGCACTGCAGTCAATAAAACATGTTAAGACAAAAATTCGATTAGTTCTGAAAGCAGGCTTAGGTATACTTAATCTCTCTTAATAAAAAATATAGACAGTTCTTCACACGTAAAGATCACTATCAAATGGTTTCAAAGTTAAAATTGATAAGCCGGTAATGCTGAAAAAAAATTCGATATCAACATGTTTCTTTCGAGAAAGACTTTTTTTATCGTGTAAAAACATGACTCCTACAATATATAAATTATTACTATCCTAAATAACACGAAGAAATAATATTTTGGCCTATAGTGTTCGATTGATGGTTATGCAAAAACTTCTTAACAAATATAAATTTATATACTCATCATTTATAAGTATTGCTTGCGTATCGCATACTCTGGTTTTGTTTATTATTCTGTAATTGAAAATTCGCCACAGCTTAGCAACAATGTGAACTACCCACTGTTAAACCTATAGAAAATGTTATGTTGTGATTAACCCTAACAACATCGAATTACCAACTGTTGAACATATACGAAATGTCATTCAGTTATTAACCACAAGAAAGTCAAATTACCCATTTTTAAACCTACAGAAAATGTTGCAATGTGACTGACCATATCTAGCCTGAATGTTCAAAAGCAAAAACCCCCACACGATCAGAAAATCATTTAACATTAATTTCATATTTTTACTTTTAAAATAGTTACGCAAGAAATGCTTTTTCCTCATTTTGGAACACTGATGTCTGATTATACTATTTTGCTACTTAAATTATTGTGTTTAATTTAACTTTTAAAATTGTCACGTTGAAATGATCGTCGATTTCAACATTTCATTAATAGTTAAAAAATTAATGGTTTTAATATACCTTTGACAAAAACAACAGAATAAAATACAGAAAGTTTATAGACATTGAAATTTGTGCTGTCTTACACTACAGTAATCAGAACCTAACTTAGAAAACTTACACTACAACTTAGTAAACTTACACTGTCCTACACTACAATAATCGGAACCTAACTTAGTAATCTTACAATGTCCTACACTATAGCAATCAGAACCAAACTTAGTAAATTTATACTATCCTACACTACAACAATGAAATCCCCAATTAGTAAATTTACACTGTCTCATACTACAACAATCATAACCTCACTTAATAAACTTACACTGTCCCACCACAATACAGTAATCAGAACCTAACTCAGAAAACTACACTGCAACAATCAGAAACTAACTTAATAAACTTACACTGTCTTACGCTACAAGGATCAGAACCTAACTTAGTAAACTTACCCTGTCCCACAATACAATAATTTGAACTTAACTTAGCAGAGTTGCACTGTCCTACACTACAACAATCAGAACCTAACTTAGAAAACGTACATCGTCCTACACTACAACAATCAGAACCTAACTTAATAAACTTACACTGTCCTACATTACAATAATTTGAACCTAACTTAGCACAATTGCACTGTCCTACATTACAATATTTTGAACATAACTTAATATTTTTTTTTTGTTTTAGAGCAAAGCCACATTGGGCTATCTGCTGTGTCCACAGCAGGGAATCTAGCCCCGGATTTTAGCGTTGTAAGTCCGTAAACTTACCACTGTCCCATCGGGGAACAAGTTATTTTGTCATAGACTGCATCAGATTGAACTTATCATAATGAGAGAATAACTTCTACACAGTAATAGTCAGAATCTAACTTTTAAAATGTACACGTCCTGGACAACAACAACCAGAATATAATTAAAAAATGTACGCTGTTTCTTACTACAGCAATTAGACCCTACAGTAATAAAACGTGCAGCATAATAAGATATTTTTTGTGACATCACAATAAGACTGAATTGATTTTGTGGTATTACATCATATTTAGACTCGTAATGAAAACAGTCTTATTGTAAATATATTAAACGGCACTTGTGCGCATGTATAATATTAATAATTAAAATATTACAGCATTAAATAATTTCGCAGTAAATATGATTTATTGAAAACAGAGCACACTCCTAAAAGAGGGACTCTACAGTTTACATGTTTCGGTGACGTTCTACATCACTATCATAAGTCTGATGACGGTGGCCTGATGATTTCTTGTTATCTTAAGCCACAAATCTAGTTTTAATACGTTTCAAGTTCGTTCGGCATGGCCAGGTGGATAAGGCGCTCGACTCACAATCTGAGGGTCGCGGGTTCGAATCCGCATCCCACCAAACATGCTCGCCCTTTCAGCCGTGGGGGCGTTATAATGTGACGGTCAATCCCACTATTCGTTGGTAAAAGAATAGCCCAAGAGTTGGCGGTGGGTGGTGATGACTAGCTGCCTTCCCTCTAGTCTTTCACTGCTAAATTAGGGATGGCTAGCGCAGATAGCCCTCGTGTAGCTTTGCGCGAAATTCAAAAACAAACAAGCAAACGTTTCAAGTTCACGTTTCGTGTTAACCTAAGCCTAAAACTTTATGTACAGAGAGAATCTTCATTTCAGCATGGCTTACGTCTTACTTCTGGTTATTTGAAGATAAAATCTTCATTTCATTATGTCTGGACCTTAAACATTTTACTTGTGATTATCTTAATGAAAATAAATTGTAGCAGTTGATAAGAAAAGTTAAAGAACTGAGGGAACAACAAGTTGGTGAGAAAAGGGCACTTAAGTTACACACATACACACACACACACACATATACAGTATATATATATATATATGTGTACTAACATGTGTTATATAGAACGTTTAATTGTTTACTCGAGTATGGTGCATGCTGTGTATAAATATGATATGACTTATATATATATATATCTACAAACATGTGTTATATAGAACGTTTAATTGTTTACTTGAGTATGGTGCATGCTGTGTATAAATATGATATGACTTATATATATATATATATCTACAAACATGTGTTATATAGAACGTTTAATTGTTTACTTGAGTATGGTGCATGCTGTGTATAAATATGATATGACTTATATATATATATATACAAACACGTGTTATATAGAAGGGTTCAATTATTTACATGAGTATGGTGCGTGTTGTTTCTAAATATGATATAGCTTATATATATGTGTGTGGGGGGGGAGGTTGTTTGTTAATTATGTTCACTAGAAATAATTTATTCCATCTATTCTTTTTTTTTTTTACTATTCTAGATCCACACCTGTCGCTGAGACTAGATATACACCATCAGATTTGTGTTTAATTTCTAACCAACCTTCAAGAGCTGTGGTGAATTTCTGCTATTTTTGTTTCAGAGGAAATCAGTCATTTAAAATAATATACAGATACAAGTCACTGAACCTGAAGATGGCGTAAGTATGGAATTGATAGAAATTTGAGCCAAAGAAATCTTGTTTGTGGAAATAACCCTCATCAAGATGATTTCTTTTGAATTTGTAAAATTTGCTTCAAACACTACCCATTTACTAATAACACAAACACTGGTAACAAAAAGAATATTTGTTATAGCATCTTTTTAAGTTTAAACTCTTTAATCACATGTATAAGTATGTCGAACACATTTATTACTAATTCAGCGACTTTTAGCCATAACCAAAAACTAAATTTAAAACCTAAAAAAATCAAGTTCTTTCTTGCTATTTATGTTATAATTTTATTTAATTCTTATTATTATTGCTTTTAGTAATAAAGAAAAAAAATCAGTTTCTGGTGGAGCGCCATCTAGAGAGATACTTTACTACTAATTAGTTTTTCCGCGACACAGGGCTTTTAAGGGTTATTATTACAATAACATGTGTCTATTAAAACACAATTTTAGACAGACATATAATAAAACATTCTGGTAATTCTGAGGTGATATTTTTTAAAATATCTAAGTTATAAGTTCATTGGTTTCAGCACTTGCTGACAACAAAGTAACTTGCTTTACTGGCTTGAATACATGCCACTACTAAAATTATACTTTCCTTAATACGATATTGTGTTACAAATGCTTGCTTAGCGAGAGACATTTCAATTTAAAGGATTTGATTACTAAGACACACTAAGACCGTGAAATTGACTAATGTATATATCATAAAATGAATGCGCATGTTGCTACTTTTATGGACATCGGAATGACATTGTTAGTAGTTATGTTTCAACCAGACACTTTTTAGCTTCTGGTACATTTGCAAATTAAACTTAATAACAAGTGATAATATTACACTTTTAACTTTTAAGATGATGAATGTTTAAGCCGTATTTATATTGACTTATCTTAATCTATAATTAAATTATAGTATTATTAAATTACAATATTGTTGATATTGGGAAAGTCTAAACCCTATATTTATGATGTTTCGTTATCTTAAGCCAAAAAAATCGACTTTTAACGTATTCAAGATCCACATACATTTTCGTTAGATTAAGACTAAAACTTATGTCTACATCTAAACATGTACCTTCTTATTATCTTAAGACAATCTTCATTTAAGCATGTCCAAACCTAAAACGTGTTACCCATGGTTATCTTAAGACAATTTTCAGTTCAGTATGTCTGGACCTAAAACGTCTTACTTCTCTTTATATTAAGAACGAATCGTCATCTATGTATCTTTAAACTTTAAGCGTCTTAATCCTGGCTATTTTAAGACAAAATCTTCATTTATAGTACGTCTGAACTTAAAACTGGTTATCTTAAGACAGAATCTTGATTTCAGTATGTTTGAACCTTAAAACGTCTTACTTCTCATTATCTTAATGAAATAAAATCGTAGAATTTGTTAATAATGTTGGACTA